GCCTAACACCCTGCAAAACTTCTTTATTAATGGGATATTGCTTAGTACAAGGAGGCTGACAACCTGTAAGTACAACTGGTTCCATATCTAGAAGACCACAATCATCCTTATCATTAGACCAAATGGGCTGATCAGCCAAATCAGACTGCATTAAAGAGGCAATGTTCCAAATACAAGAATCAGCATTAATAGATAAAGAACAGTTCAATTTTTCGGTCCTAGACTAACATCTATGGGTGCAGATAGAGTCAAGAAAATACCAGCATTACCTAGTCCCTCAGCTGTGATGTGTCTATCTGTCAAAGGTACTCCTAAAGATATACAGACTGTTTCAGAAAGAGTGGTAACCTGAGCCCCTGTGTCTACAAGAAATGAAAAATCCTGTTTCCTGATTTGAACATCAACAAAAAAGATGGTTTTCAAAAACCTTACTGATAGCACACAGGTGGGCAGAAGCGGCTGGGCAAATTAGTTCAAAGCTGGGGCAGGCGGAGCTGTTGACACCTCTGTAAATCCTTGCACTGCCTTGATAAGCATAGACAACTGGTCTGGTGAAATACCCTGGACAGACTTCCCTGTTGTATTCTCCTGTGAAAACCCCTCAGAAGAACTGACTACAATGCTGTCCCTCATCTTTGTACTCCTTTTGTGAATATCTGCCTGTTTCTTACGACAATCTCTTGCAAAATGACCAGTTTTATGGCAGTAATGACACTCGTCCTTCTGACTAGAGAACTTCTGATTGGAGGTTCAAAGCAGAACCTCTGTTTTATCTGAGTTAAGTAGGTGAAAGTTACTTAATATCCAGTCTTTTATGTCTTTTATACAGTCCTCCATCTTGCTAAGTTGAAGGTTGTCATCTGGTTAGCTTGATATATACTGTATAACTGTGTGTCATCGGCATAGCAGTAGAAATTCATGCTGTGTTTACTGATAATGGTACCCAGTTTTAGCATATATAATGTGAACAATGTAGGTCCTAAAACAGAGCCTTGTGGAACACCATACTTTACTTTTGCAAGAACAGATGATTCACCATTTACATTTACAAACTGACAGCGATCAGTCAGGAATGATTTGAGCCAGCTATTCTTGTTACCCCTACAAGGTTTTCTATTCTATCTAGTAAGATAGAGTGGTCTATCGTGTGAAATGCTGCACTAAGATCAACGAGGACTAGCAAAGATACATTTCCTTGGTCAGGGAATAATGAAAGATAATTTACAATTTTCACTAGTGCTGTCTCTGTATATTGATAGGAACTTAATTGTTAATAGGAACTTAATTGTTTTGCCACAACGTTTTCCAAGATCTTTGATATAAAGGGAAGATTCAAGATAGATCTATAATTTGATAGTTCAAAGGGATCAAGGTTAGCTTTCTTAATCAGAGGTCTAATTACTGCTAGATTAAGAGCTTTTGGGATATAGCCAAGCCTAAGACAGGAGTTTACTATTGACAGCATATGCTTATTTTTAGGTTATTTCTGGCAAAATTTATTTGAGTAAACCTGTAGGAATCTGATCTAATATACAAGTAGAAGGTTTTGCGGAGGAAATAAATTTAACTACTTCATTTTGTTGAAATAAGGTAAACGATTCTCGCCTCTCTGTAGTAGTAACAATATTCTCAAGATCTAGATTGGCATTATAAGGCAGTAAGTTTGTAGAGTTTAACTGTGCGTTCAGAATTTTCTGCCAAATTTTTTTTTTTTTTTTAGCACTAAAGAAATTCGTGAAATCATTGCTGCTATAGGCTGATGGCATCTGGGATTCAGTAACTGTTTGGTTCTTAGTTAATTTAGAACTTGTGTTCAATAATAATCTAGAATTATTCTTATAATTTTCCATGAGAAAGAAGATATAGGCTGAGCATGCTACAGTAAGTGTGTAAATGACAAAAGATTTTAGTTTGAGACTTACGTGTTAGAGTACAAAGCTCTAGTTGGGGAAACAGGAATAGGTTTGGGCAGCGATGATGCTTTAAAGGCAGTATTTTTAAGATTTAAGACCAAGGTTTAAGACCAAAGTTTCACAGCTTTCATTATGAACTGCCGTGTATTACTGCTCAGAATGTAGCTCAGCCAGTTTGCATTGAAGTCCCTGTGGTTACTGAATAATATGCCTGGGATTTTAAGGTGTTAATTACATGCATTTACACTTGGTAGTCAAATGCGTCTCTAGTTAGTCACACTGATATCTGATTGTTATGTGGCATTGTAGTACGCAAATCAGCTACATATGACAACCAATTGCCTTTGTTTCACCTAATTTCTTTGTTCTAATCGAAAGAAAATCACAAATTTGTATAGCACTATTCATTTATTTTCTCTGGCAGTCAATTTGTACAAGAAGATATATAGAGAAGCTAATTTTATGTACATCCTACTTCAGATAAATTGTTATTAGTCTCAGGCATATACTTATGTGTATGTATTTGTATATAGAAATATCAACAATGTGTGTATAGTAGATTCATCTGGATTACAAATGACACTAATACAGTTTGTTTCAGCCAGGATTTTTATTGGAAACCAGTATGTCCTTGAAGTACATTTTCAAAGTTAAAATTCATTATTTCTCAGTATATCTTAAAAAAACTGGATAAACTGTAAAATGCTGCTTGTAAAAGTAGTGAACACATTTAGACCATTACTTGGTGGATCCGCTCAACAGCTTTAATTCTGTAGGTGTAGGTTTTACCAGCTTTTCACACTGTTTGGGAGAGATTTTTACCCATTATTCCTGGTACCTATGTGTTAAAAATTTTAATTTCACTTGCATCATATGTGTGTGGGTATGTATGTGTGTGTATATATATATGAAATGGACATGATTAACATGATTAATGGACATGCTTAACTTTGCCTTCTCATATAGTATCTCTTTTGACAGCCTGAGGTGGGAAAATAAAAATTTTTGAAGGTTAAGCACTTTGATGAATACACCAAAGAAAAATATACATTTTTAAAGAGGCATAAAATGAGGTATGTTTACAGAAAGTGCCACCTGGGTAACGTAAATTGACACTTAAGCAGTGTGCAAAACTCTCCCTGGTATTCAAGGTGTCCCAAAATGGCTGGCTACTCCAGCGTTGGGTGGGTGCTAATTCAGCCACCATAGCAGCACTGATGCCAACTTCTTAGGCAACAAAATGTTTAGTTATCAGTTCTTTTTTTGAAAGTGCTATTTCCTAGTTTGGTAATGTCCTTCTTCTCCATTAACTGAGATCTTCCATATCTCCTGAGTGTCTTAGGTTTGAGAAATGAGTAAGAATTCACTCTTTCCACCAGTCTCTTGGGAAATTGGACACGTTTTCAGATTTATAAACATACTGAGGCATATTGTAAAGTTTTTCAGAAGAATCTTGGGCAGAGTTACAGTTACAGGCTTTGAAGGACCAACTCAATTTTATACAGCCCTACCCTGAGGCAGACCAGAGCTGCATTATATATACACCGATCAGGCATAACATTATGACCACCTACTTGTTTCTACACTCATTGTCTATTTTATCAGTTCCACTTACTATATAGATGCAGATGTAGTTCTACAATTACAGACTGAGGTCCATCTGTTTCTCTGAATGCTTTGTTACCTTTTACCCTGTTCTTCAGTGGTCAGGACCAGAGGTGCAAGTAACAAATTAGATTTACTCTCATTACTGTAATTGAGTACAGTTTTTCCTGTAACGGTACTTTTTTGAGTAGAATTAAATTATAGTACTTTTACTTGAGTAAATTTTTAATGAAATACTTTTGCTTCATTACTGTATAACGTTACAGAGTAAAAATAAATTATAAGTGTATCTGCTCAGAAACCAATATGAACGAAGCGCGGTTAAATTTAAAAGATTCACCAATCAAAAAACAGCAGCTCTGCCAGGAAAAACACTACAGAGATGCCCAGTTTTGTGGAGAAAGACAGAGGAGGACTTAACCAGCTCACACGAGGAACAGACCTTGTCCAAAGAGTCATCTGTATTAATTTTCACATGAACTGAAGAAAACAGCATTATTATCAGCGACCAAACACAAAACTGCTGAGATCTGCTCTCACAACTCGACTTCAGCCTGAGGCAGCGTTAGCTGAGCTAGCTGATCTGAGCTAAACAGGTAGCGTGTTTACGGTTATCTTTTTTTATAATGCTTCTGTTTATTAGACTTGAAATCTGTTGTGTTTATTTATTAAGTGCCTTTCGGCTACTTTAGTTAACAGGGGTCGCCCACAGCCCACAGCTTACTGTTTATACACCCTAGTTTAGCTGCTGTTTGGAGATAAACGGTCATTTACGGCTGTGATACAAGAAATCTAGTCTAATACAGGATCTTCAACTCTGAGCAGTGATTATGTCGCGCTGTCGTTGTTTAAGCTGACAGGCCTGATCTGATCCCTCCCCACCTCCCGCCCTCTCTCTCTCTCTCCCCCCGCCCCCTCTCTCTCCCTCTCTCTCTCACTCTTCCTCTCTCTTTATCTTCCTCTCTCTACCTTTCTCTCTTCCCCTCTCTCTCTGTCTCTCTCTTCCTCTGTCTCTCTGTCTCTCTCTCGCTCTCTCTCTCTCTTTCTCTCTCTTCTTCTGTCTCTCTCTTCCTCTCTCTGCCCACCCATCTCTCTTCCTCTTCCTCTCTCTCTCTGTCTCTCTCTCTCTTCCTCTTTCTCTCTACCTTTCTCTCTTCCCCTCTCTCTGTCTCTCTCTCTCTTTCTCTGTCTCTCTCTTCCTCTCTCTGCCCACCCCATCTCTCTTCCTCTTCCTCTTCCTCTCTCTCTTTCTCTTCCTCTCTCTCTCTTCCTTTCTCTCTTCCCCTCTCTCTCTGTCTCTCTCTCTTCCTCTCTCTTTCTCTCTCTCACACCTATTAATGTGCATTGCAAGAAGGTGATAGAATGATATCAGAAGGACTGGGCAACATGACATTATTCATGGCGAGAAAGACTGTTTACTGTTTCTTACATTTCTTAATTAAATGTGTTATTACATTATATAAGTTAAAGATGCATGATTTATGCTGTTTTTTGAAGGAGGGGAGAGTTTTAAGATGTCAGAGAAAGATTATGAAAATGTTGAAAAAATGTTGGAATTTGGGGCCCAAGTGTTTTTGAACTGGTTGGACAAAGTCAGAGATGTAACTGAAAGAATGGTGAGAGAAAACCAGCTGAGAACAACCAGGTAAAAACTAAATAGTTGACCCAATTTTGTTAAACTGCTTGAATTAAAGCAGAATATTAATGATTAATCGTTCCATTGATTTTTATTTATTTATTTTTTTTTACAGAATTGCAATCCAAGGTCACTGGAATTCTTTCAAAGAGACAGCAAACAGAATCAGTGTAGAGGAACAAGGTAAAGTGAGGGAGTAGAGTGCAGGATGATATGATTGTAGCAGCACGGTAAGTCCAACCTGCTGAATTTAGATGAAGAGGAACATTTTAAAAAATAACTGTGTTACAACCCAAACTTAAAGACCAATTGATGATAGATAATTCATTGCAATTAATACTAAGAAAATGATAAAATTGTTTTATAGTATAGTTTTTCACTTTTTCAGTGTAGCTCAAAGTACTGAACATGAGCTCTGCCATGCTTGTCGCTCCCTTCTGACTGGTCTCAATAGCCGTCAACAACGCTTCCAGGGATACTAGCTCGTTACAGCTGTAGACAGTTTAGCTCTGTTTAAATGTTCTGCCTTCACCTCCCCCAACCTCCCAGTTCCATTCACAAAATGTGAAAAGAGACATAGCACGTTACTTATAACATGAGTTTATGCTAAACATTTCACAAACTCTCCCAAAGAAACCATGGTGATGTTTTACTTGAACCCTGCGATATAGCCTTGACATAACCATTCCTTAAAAATGGCATGAAGGATATCAGATAACAGATTTTGTTCAGTAATATAACAGTGTCATGTTACTAATACAGGTTATTATCATGATAGATATTGATCGATGTCATGACAGCTTCACATGCTAATTTTTGCTAAGCGTACTCCAGTTAGCCACTTAAACATTAAACATTAACTACTGACTGGAATTGAAAAATTAATGCAATTTAAAATGCAACTGGTGCATTTAGTTTTGAAAAGTGGAATTTGAATGCATCCATAATTCTATTCTAAATTTAGTTCTAGTAGAATAGAATTGTACTAGTATATTACCACTGTCTGAATAAATTTTGTATCTCAATTTTTGTCGATTTACATTTTTTAAATTAATTTGAAAACATCAGCTGTCCTTTGTACTGTGTGAAAAATTTCATGATAAATGGATCAACTGAAATGGTCCAAAAAGACTTGGAATAAAATCATTCCAGTAACTTATATTGAAAGTTAAGAAAGTATTTATCCTGTAAAAATGGTTATTCCAACAGTGGTACAGCGCAGCATAGTGTAAATCTGAGCTTTATGCTTCATGATGGATGTTTCTATTTCACAGCACCATCCGAAGACTACTTCTGTTCTACAAAGATGACCTACAAAAGATGATCCGTTCTCTAGCAACAGAGAAGGGTGTTCAACAGTATCTACTGTAAGATCTCTTCCTCATTGTTCAGTTACTCTGAAATCTGAAACTTTGTTTTACTTCAACTACATATCAGTTTATATTAGGGCTGTCAAATGATTGAAATATTTAATCGTGGTTTTATAATGTGTATAAGTTTTTTTTTTTCCATTTCCAGAATTTCCATGAGGTCAACGCAGTTTCCAAATGTCATTGCAGACATTCAGTGAGAGCAACAGTAGCTGCAACTGTGGACTCACAGAAACACATTCTTAGCTACACATTCATAAGAAACAATTCTTTAGCTAACTGGCAAAACTGGTTCAGACAGAGCCTCACATCTGTGAACATCTTCATCAGTTTGTTGCTCCTAACAATATGTGGTAAATACAGGAGTAGGTCTTGTGAAGTTTGTAAGGAAATTAACTTTAAACTTGGTTCTCTAAATGCTTTTGAGTGTTCCTAACACAGGTATGCAAAGAGAGCAAAGAAATATACATTCACAAATCTATTCTAAAATGTATTTGAAATGATGAAAAAATGATGATTTCCTGTGCTTTATTAGCCATAGTAAATATTAAAATAGTAAATTGAGATAATGACTTGGCATTAATCAGCAATCTAGAGGTTTTTCAGTGGACCGAAATTTAACTGAACTATTTTTAAGCAGAAGTAGTCAAAGTTAGATATCTTGCACATGGACAGTATAGAGTAAGGTTCTCGCCCAAGCAGGGGATAGAACTCCAGTCTGCAGCATGGAGGACAGAGTTGTTACCCACTACACCACCAACTACACCCAGGATCTCTGGTTTACCGAACAGGAACAGAGACTTTCAGCTACAAAAGCCAATAAGTTAACTTTGCAGTGAAGTGGCAACATAGTTTATTAATAAAAGTGGACTGTTTAAAAGCAAATTAACAGAAAAAAATTCTCACTATTTTAAGTTCATAACCAATATCTCTCATCTGTGCAGAGGCTGTGGCACTGGTCAAAGTGAGAATGTTAAGCACCACTATAAAACAGGACAATCAAATCAAATTTAACCTACACACAAAATCAAAAAAAGTTCTTATTTTGATTGAAAGTTCAGAATCCACTATTTTGACAGAATATCTCTTTTTTCATTGCTGATAATCTACAAGTGTGAAATATGTAATATGTAATTGCATCATGCATTTGTTATCCTAAGGGCTAATGTTTAATTAATGTGTATCTGAAAGTACAAGCCTACATTAAAACAAGATTATAACCAGAGCCCTTCATATCTTTAACAGAGCTGTGAACACATTAGAAGGGGCCATTCAAAAGGAACAATGGAATGAGGTCTGGGGGTGAGTATTTTGCTCCTCTTGCAGTTGATTTCTTCTTGAGTTAAATTCCAAAGGAATTGTCACTGGTAATAACCTCTAATAACAGCAACAGTGCCAACAGTGCTGTTGACAGCAGGTTGGATTATATACACAGAGCTTTCTCTTCCTTTTCAGGTTGTTTTCCTATAATACATGTAGTTAGTTTTACTTTAAGTTTTAAATGCTTCTTTAGTAACATCACTTATTTAAACTCCTTTGTTTCTCACAGAGCTGTGGAGTCACACTACTTTCCTGGAGCTCCATCAGTCAGAAATGATCCCTTGGAGTTTCTTTGTTACCTTCTGTCCACCAGGTAAGAATGGATGACCTACCTCATTTTTTTCTACCTTACATCTTTGGCAAGACTTTTCCACAGAATGATTGTAATCTGTGATACCAGATTTGATCAGGATAGTACATCTATCACCTGTTGCTGGTTATCAACAGCAAATAACTTACAGTATCTTGATGGGAGCAGATACTGTCAGTTTTACTATATTTTCTCTTGCGTGAATGAGAGATTTCACAAAAGAAGGAGGAAATCAAAACACAAGTGTAGAGAACAAATTCAGTTGTGAAGTTATGAAATCATTTGATAACGACTTCATTTCAGGATTAGAGATGTATATTGAATATACAGCAGTTTATTAGAATATAGAGTATTATTGCTGGCTGCCTGAAACAGTGAATAAAAATGTACCATTTCTAGACTTAGTTCTATGTTCTAATGCGGTTTATTTAAGATTTGTGATTGGTGGTGCCCTGCCTCGGTAAATGGAATGGTGGGCTGGTGTTCTGTTAGAGTGAAATACCCCAAAGTTATAATACATTTGGACAACTAGTCTTGTTTCAGTTGGCACATTGGCATGATTCACAGTAAATGAATGGTAATATCTTTGCACCGTTCAAATTTCTTGGAGAAATTTAGTTTTTTTAATAAAATAATAAATATGTTGAATTCCTCTGCAAGTGTGAGTACTTAAGATGTTAAAAAATGATTGATCTAACTTGATATATTAACATTTATCTTTCTTTGTATCCAACAGCACTGTGGAAACATTCATAGTGAACCTTCTTAAAACTGGAGAAGTGATTTCACAAATTAGACATATTGATTTTCAAAAACTACAAGAAAGGTAAGTAGTATTCAATAGTAGTATTCAACTTGTGAAGATCATAACTTTTGAAAACATTGTTTTGCTAGCAAACTAACAGCATATTTTCTCCTAATTCAGTGGTTTCCAACCTTGGTCCTGCAGCCTCCTGTGCTCAGCACATTTTTCTCTGTTCCCAACAAACCTGATGCAACAAATCAGCTCCTTGTTCAGTTGAAGTGGGTGTTTTAGAACAGGAAAATTATAAAATGTGCAGGACGGGGTTCTCCAGATCCAACCTGTACCCTTATTGAATACGAGTTAAGCATTGAATTGAACATGAGCTAAGCATGTTTTTATCTATTTATATTACTGTGAATAAGAGTCCAAAGAAACCAATGACGAAAGATGGTGCCAGGAAAAGGAGTCAGTGCCAATACCAAAATACAAAGATACACAATGGGATGTATAGCAGACCAGTCTGGATGGGATTCAGCTTCAGGTTGCCATTCATGATGAGATGTTGTGATGGGAGTAGAAACAGTGTCTGAGTGGGAAACAGAGGTTGAGTTGGGTGTCATCAGCTTAGTTATGGTACAGAAAGCAGTGATAGCCATGAGAGTCGGTATGGAAGGAAAAGAGAAGAAGAACAAGCACTAAAAAGCGGTAGCTTGTATAGATCAGATGCTGATGTATCTATATTTACCTAAAGAACACCTTGTGTTAGTTCTTTCAGAGGTGAAATCTAAAAACAAATAGAGATATCTGAATCTAGTATAATTTTGTCTACCTTTCCTCCTCTCAGTTGTTCTTAGTTTTCTTTAGATGCCGATTAGTAGAAGAGGAGAGTACATAAGGAGAGGTTAATGATGAATGTGATGAAGGGCAGCAGGATCTAGAAGTCTGGAGCACTGTGGATGGGGGACAGCAGTCAAGTGGTGGGACTGCTTAATGGCAGTAGTTGTAGAATGTCATCAGGGGAAAGAGGAGAAAAACACATGGAGTCATTCTCCCCCTCTCAACTGTCTAAAAGCAATTTCCAGAGAAAGAGAAAACATGAGGGAAGTTGTGGTGGGATAGTTTTGACGGAACAAGAAGGGGGAGAAGGATGGGTGAAGTAGAGGTTGGGGTGATGTGGACACAGTACCCAGAGAGGAAAATTGTGAAACAAAGAAAATGATGATCTGAGAAGTATAGGGGAAGAATGTAAAGAGCTCTAGGGTGCAGGTTCAGTATGTTTTTGCTCTGAGCACCGAATGAAACATTCGCATCGAAAAATAAAAACAGCGTGAGTAGGCTGAATGGTTGCAGCTTATCTGGTGGAAGGTTGAAGTCTTGGGAAGAGGACCAGAAGGATATTCACTTTG